TTTTTCAAATTTGTCCTATGTTTTGGTGGGTGGCCAAAAACATTTAGATTTTCTGGAAGTTAACTAAGTTAACCAAGTGTGACTATAGGTAAGCCGCCACCTTCATCGTCTTTCTCAAACTCGACTCACATGAAAGCTATTTCTACATAATTAATAAAGAATGTGCTTACTAAATTAACCTTGCTGTTTTTGCTACAACCAACAAATATGGATACCGCAAAATGCTCACATTTGTACGGAACCCACATTTCGGAAAACACAATTCGAAAATGTAAGTACCGGTAATATGGCGATCACCGCGTGCTTTTGTCTGCTGTTTCCGTTAAACCGTTGGATGACGCAAGGCGCAAGCGCGGCACATGACGGATAATTCTAATTTGATTTGGAACCAAAAATAAAAAAGAAATAAACAACTCGTCACGTACATACAAAATATTACATCGTTAATTTTAAAATCGATGAATAACAATTATAAACAATGTGACAATATAGCAATAAATATTCGAGATGTTAATTTATATATACTATATTATACATTTAGGATCATAGTCGTACGTTACATATAGGTAATACTAATGACGCCTACAGAACGTATAATAATGCACGTTTTGACGACGTCGATAATAGGTCTTCGACGTCAATGAGGAATAATTCCCAATTATCGACGACTATACGACGTGATCTGGGTATTGCTATTATTAGTATTTCCAAAATATTTGACACATCTAGAGCTTTTCTTTGAATTTTCTACTTTCTTTGGGTTTAATTCAACTCTAGAAGTTTCGTCTTTTAGCTGACATAATTTCATTGTTGATTTGCAACTGATGTGCAAAGAACGAATTGCAGTGTAAAACGGTTCCCATAATCGAGAGACGTGACAATTTGACATTTTTCTGACAATTAATGTGAATTCTTGTTTTTATTATTTGCAGTTGCAAACGATACTCCTTTTATTTGGGCTGCAGCAACAAGTCTTTTAAGCAACCCAAATAGGTGCATGAAAAGCGGTTGCTGCAATATTAATTAAACTATTAATTTAACTAGACGCAAAGGTTTTGTCAGAGTTACACACACGGATTCGGACAAAAGGTGCCGCGTATATTTCCTACGAGTTCATACGAGCCGAGCGTTTCAAATTAAATAATGCCGGCGAGATGTTTCGGTCAGTGCGAATTGGTCCACATTCGGCTTTCGCTTGTATTCCTAACCATGTAAATTATGTATAAACGAAGTGTATATGTATAGAACTCGTTAAGCATTTGCTTAATTAGTTAAGCGTGTTTGCGTCTGAATAAATCTTCTGAATTCCTAATGCGACGTTTATTTACAAAATAAATCTTGATGACGTTTCGAAAATCATCCTGTTGACTTCTTCAGAGCTTAAGTGAAACTGGACATCAGGAGGGACATCAGGGGCATCAACATATTGATGAAAGGTAAAGACCTGGTTCGCGGTTGTTTGCTTACAGATTTCAATGGATTTTTGTTTTAGTGTTATCGAATAAGATTTGACGTCCGGTTTCAGGATTGTGTTCGGCAATTGCTGATGAGTTTATTTGTCATATAACGTTCTTTGAGCCTAGTTAATATTGTGGTATCTCAAACGGAATTTTCTATTTGACGGATCGAAGATGTTAAGAGATTTTTGGACAAGTGGTAAATCTGGTTTTGACATTATGATACTTGAATATGAGAAAGGGCAACAATATTGCCTTTGGAAGCTTGTGATGAAGTGTATTTTCCAATGAAACGCTTAGTATCTAGTGGGGAAATTAATAGAGAGGATTCGGTGACTCGGGTTGAGACAGCTTTACGGCTCTGTAAAGAAGAGGGTTGATAACCGATGATTTTTGGGCTGGAAGGAGATGTGACAATGCATTAAGGTACTTGTCTGTGTTGGTAGATTTTTTGTAATGTTAGGTCTCATTTTCTATTGTTAAGAATATCTAAGAATGTTTTTAATTCGGTGATAAGACGTATGATTCTTGAGTGACGCAGGAGGAATCCAAAAGATTTGTAAATAGCATTATAGTGGCCCATGGAAGTTCCTTTGAAAAAATAGTTGGTATTTTGTCTACCAGATCGTACCAAAATTTATGAAGATGTTGAGGTGCTGCGCAGAGGATTACAAACTTTACAAAAGAAAAGGTTTGATATCAAAATATTGTAGGAGCACTTTCAAAGAAAGTATTGATATTTGTTATTTTATTATAAGACAAGTGCCACAAAGTTTAATTTCTTCGGGAGAGAAAAACTAAGAAAGTTCACCAAAGTACTAAAATAAAAGCAGTATTTTATAATTTATAAATTCCTTCTAATCGAAAATGTGGCACTGCTATGTTGCGATTTTTTGAACTATAGGAAATAGTATATTATGCAAGACGTGCTGACTAACGAGTTTACTTGACACGAGTGACTTAAAAAGTTTACCGAACGTGTTGCATACTATATTTTTTCTACGACCGTTAGTTTTTGGATACATTTTCGCAAAACAACAGGAAGACATTTACTGACATGACCGTCAGAATTGACAAACGTCAAAATTCAAGGCGTGGGAAATATCTCCGAAAACATCCGATTGCTCCCAAACTCGTGCGGTAAAATCCCGGAAATGTGCGAAGTGGCTCGGATCCGTGGGAAACGAAAATGACGCTTCCCGCACGCTAGATCGGTGTGTAATTAGGCATTTTACAGGCGGGAGTAGAAAAATATCTATATGTGAGAGTGTATCGCTCTAAACTTTAATCTGAAAAATATATACAGCGAATGGAATTAAAAATGAAAAATATGTCAAAAATGACAAACATGATGACGAATTAAGATAGGTAAGCGACTCTCGGTCTATCGGAAAGTAATAACCGCAGAAGTTTCGGGTAACTTTGTTTTTAACAAAACGTTCTAAGGGAAACCGCTGGAAATTACTTCAAATATGCGAAACGACCGATAGCGGGCGTAACAACTAACACATAGAATTTGATTGGTGAAGATAAATCATTGATATTGTTTTTGAAATGGTGGCATATTTTGCAAAAAATGGAATGAAGTATTAACCTCTACATAAGTCACGATAGAGAACTGAATTCTTCATATTTGAGATAAGAAATGAACTTGCATTTTAATTGTTTTTTTGTTACATCCTGTATATTTCATTTTGAAATCACCTAAGGATTTCATTTTTAATGGTGGAGCATCTTATGTGTACCAATCTGCGATAACACTCAGTAAATTAATAATCGTTTCTTTTGAGTACTAGCTAAACGCAAAAACTTTTAATTATAACCAACAAAATTAAAATCCAGCTCACTGTGCGCTGTTGGGACGTTTCTCATACAAGTTTAATCTCTAGCAGTGTTCTTATTTATTGAAACTGATGGATTAACGTAGCATTTTGGAAAAACAGCAAGATCATCATTAGGATAAAAATACGGGAAGCTCGTAACAGACGGACGCGACAGCAATGCTGAAAATAATCTGGAAATTATGAACTCCTTGACTCGGAAGTCACATACGCAATAAATACCGGTAATATCATATGTTGAAACATTGATTTAATTTAAAAAACGCTTAACATGAAAAGGTGAAAAAATTTAAAAATCTCTCTATTTAAATATGACCCAATTAATCAAAGCATCGACGTTTAAAGCGACAAGATAGCAGAAAGCTATCTGAGATAGTTCGTAGCGTGCAATCCATTACTCTGTCAAATTGTTAAAAATAAAAGATTTCTAACGTTTCAAAATCTTTTCGCCTTGGCCACAAGTGTGCAGAACTCTTATGCTGCGATGAAAACCAGTGACTTTATGTAAAGTCAAGTCAGAGCAATTGTACAGTTATGTCATAGCATGATACGTTTATCTACCTCATTACAGGATGTCGTAAATTGACACAGAAATTGCCAAGTTTAATGAAAGTCCAGCTATTGATGAAGCAACGCTTGCCAGAAAAACTGCAGAGGTGGTTCACAAATATTTTTCTTTGACTAAGAAATTGTTTTAAAATATAATCTTTTAAGAATGGACAAGCTAGCATTGGAAAATGGCCATCGCCTTATCATTTCCAATTTAATGCAATAGAGATCGTTGGCTCAGATGTTAAACTGTATTGTGATGTCAAAATAGATTCCATCAATCCCGTAACATCTGATGCTGCACTGCGTTTATGGACTGAATTATAACAACAACACTTTGTTTCAGGTTTCATCCAAAAAATGGAAGAACTATTGTGGGTATACAGACTGCTTGAGAAGTGAGGTCTCGGAAAAGGAAAAGTTGATCGATGCATCTATCCAGTTGTTATCGGAGGAAGATATTTTCTCCGATAATGATTGGTTTTTGTTTCCCTTTTTTGCTCTTTGCGTTATGGGTTTTCTTTGTTTTTGTTGTGGAAGCATTGGGAGTTTTGCAAAAATATACCTATCTAATTTATATTGTTTTCATCCATACATTTAATGAGTTTTATTTTGTCCATTCGTATAAATACGCCACTGAACCAAGTTGCCATAATCTTATTATAACATAATAATAATATGTACCTAAGTACATGGATTTTTTTGCGAATGATCTTGTTTCTAGTAGGTTCTACTGTTTGAATTATGAGTTAATGAATTAATTAAAATCGAAATACATCTAAAAATAATAGCAATATAGCTAAGACATACTGATCATTTTTGATAACGTCACTATACGTACCGTAACTGCGTAACTTCTCTGACTGGAGAATAGTAAAAGTTGACATTTATGACAAGTATTTCAAAAATTGACTTTAGTGTTCTTTGATCCTTGGCTGACTGCTGAACATTCTGCATTCTTTAGCTCGTATTTTCAAAAGCTCTACAATAAGGTTAATAAGGAATTGATTACCACCCTTTTATATTTATTGACGTCGAAGACCAATAAATTGTGAAAATCTGGTCATTGTTGATTTTACTTTAAACATTAGATATTATAATGAAAAATTATGAAATTGCGAAAATTATGGTGATAATAAATTTAAATCGTTACCGGAAAAGTCTAGAGTGCGATCGGCACTAACGTATCCATGGGGTCGCACGGCACTGGAACAAATCCAAAATGGGGTGACACAAAATTCACAAAAACACCGACACCGCACAGAAAAACGGGTCGCTTCGGGGAGTCGCGTCGCCAAAAACCGTCAAAAATTGATAATCGTATTCGCGTAAGTAGAACGTAACGCGAAATTTCGCGGCGGAAAGTGCGACGTGCCGAGGGTGGAAATTCAAACGACACTGCGTCAGGGGTGGCTGTATCTGGGAAAGCTACCCCCACCGTCCGGTTCGAGACCGCAGGAGATGGTATAGCGCGCCAAGAGAATCAGGGGAAGTTTTATATAATACCCGAAGGTGGTGGATTGATTAGGTGTTTGTTTTGGTAACGTTAGGATTATTTATTATTGTTTTGAATAGAGCAATTTTTAAATCCAAATCCAAAATATTTTCTTTGCAACGCCTTAGCTCCTTCATTGTTTACGCATATGTGGCATATGGAAATTGTCTCTCTTGGCGAACTAAAAGGTCAATACAAAAATACATGCATAAGAAGAGTGACCCAACTAAAAAAATTGTATTTTTGAGTTATAGCCATGAAGCGGTTCCAAAACTATAGTAGTTTTCTAAAAAAAAAAACGACAGAATTTATTGATCAAAATTTTCCACGAGATGGCGCGCTGTCATTATGAAATTGAGTTGGAGTGTGCGAACCGTCACTATTCCTAGTAAATTTGGAACAAGATGTGTCTGTCTTGGCAAACTAAAAGGTAAATACAAAAATACATACATAACAAGAGTGACGCAACTAAAAAAAATGTATTTTTGAGTTACATCCACGAAACTGTTCCGTAGTAGCTTTCTAGAAAAAAAATTACAGAATTTATTTATCAAAATTTACCAGGAGATGGCGTGCTATCATTATGAAATTAAATTGGAGTATGCAAACCGTCTGGTACGGAAACGTCACATTTTGAGATCGATTACAGAGGAGATGACATAAAGTTTTGCTTCTAAAGTGGTGTATTTTGTGTTGTGACTATTTAATTCATAAACGTAGGTCAATATAAAGTACTTAATTTGTATTAATATGACTATCCTAGAGATACAAATTTGAGCACTTTTTTAAAGTCGGTTATTTATAATTAATTTAAGTATTAAATAGCTATTTTCATTTTTCTTAGTGATATGTTTGGCAAACTTCAACGTCGATTTAGGTTTGGGTCTCCTTTTTCTCCGTTTGTTCGCCTTGGGGCATACTCACGCTCAGTAATGTTACAAGCAGTTACAAATTGGGCTTTCGTGGCAATATACTCATCACAACATTCTTTTTTTTTTGGCTTATTTGCTGTGTCCTTATTGTTAAAATTTTATTTGTGTTGAATTCATGAAATTATATTACCTTTTGTTGATAAATACTTTGAAATTGGATTATTATTATTAATATTATTATTATTATTATTATTATTATTATTATTATTATTATTATTATTATTATTATTATCAAATACAAAACAGTCATTGTCAAATCCTCTCTCAATGCAGCTGCGAATGTCCCTAATTATATGTGGTGTTTCAGGCTTGATGGTAAAGTTCATCAGCGATATACAGTTTTTACAACCTTTTATAGTTTTGACTTTGGAATGAATTTAAGATCCGCCTGTTGTAAAGCGGAAGGGACCATTCTTTGCAGCACGTGTACCATAAACCAGGCCCGTATTTAAGATGATTGATTAAAATGTTATATTAATTCATACTGGTGTGATTCTCATAACTCTTCCTAAAAGAATTTCTACGTAAAGTAACTCGATTTCAAGTTGAATATACCATTAGATAGGTTAATCTCCAATTTTAGGCGTTAACATAATGACTTTAAAATATTTTCTTATTAAAGCAATACAAAATCTTACGTAGATGAATGATTCGTAATGGATATTTCCCAGTGTGCTATTGATTGATTTGTGGGGGTTCGTGAAATCAGAATATGCTGCCAAGTTTCATGAAACAGTATTTTCCTCAACGTCGAAGTTTTGCAGTTATATCTATTCCGTCTTCTGTTCCTAATTATTAATTGTCAACTTACTGTTATTCAATTATTTTTCAAAAATCTGTGTGTAATTAAATTTACTACTCCGTCCTTTACATTTATAATAACCAATTTAAAGTGAGAATGGATTTTTCGCTGTATGAACTAATAATAATCGAGGAATCCGACCGATGAAACTGTATACAAATCCGTCAGCTTTCAGCTTTTGTATGCACGAAGTACCGAAGTACGGTTCTGGAACGTCATTGTCAAATTACGAATCTATTTATTGAGGGCTACACAGAGAAACCCAAGCGGTATGCCTGCGGTTAGACCTTTAAAAAATTTACCAAAAATGGTATATCGTTCGGCGAACTATACCTATTATTTCGTTAGTGTAAATGTTTTTTGTAAAACGATTTGCAAAACTTTTCTTAATTCTGGTTCATGTGTTGTAAATCCGGATTGGTTTCTTAAAATTTTCTGCACGTAGTGTCTATAACGTGGTTGCATTGTCAATACATAATAAATAAACTCATTAAAACAGAATTAGAATACTGGTTTCCTACCCTTTTGCATATATGAAATAAAACTTCTCTCAAAATCTAACAATAGAGAATACATAGAAAGTGTGATACGGTTATAGTTTGGCATTGAGAACACGAAAACCCTTCTTTATCGATGTCCTATTTAAATTCTTCCAAAATTTATCCAGAGGAGTCTAACGGCATTTGTACTATTTTTTTAAGGGAAACAGTACATTAGATCTGAAAATTTCCTTAGGTCCATAAGGGACGATGCTCTATCGATCAAATGGCACTTTTTTTCTAAAAAAATTGTTTATTTATTTAACCGTTTCATTTCTGGTGGACATGTAACCAGATAACATTTTTTGGTCTAAAAGATTGATATTTTTCCAGAACATATTTCGTAGTTTTGGTTAGGTAGTAGCTTTAAAAATTCAATACTTAATTTGTGAATGTGAAAATTTTTATGGATACCTTTCCAACCTGAACATTTGTCGATACCAATACCAATAGGGGGGGGGGGATTTATTTTCAACAACTCATATTAACAATCTCTTTCCATGGTAAAACTAGAGCAACCACCAGCAGATCTTTAATTTGCAGTGGTGGTCAAGACAAGATGACAAATTAAAGGGAGGTACAGTAACATATAGTCAACAATCAAAATGCAGCTGATATAAATTTTGTTTCGAATTGGCAGTTAGTAAAATTTGTGATCTTGTGATTTAACACCAGTGGACTACTTTTTGTGGGGCAATGTAAAATCATTGGTCTATGCGGATAAGCCACAAACGCTTGACCATTTGGAAGACAACATTCGCCTTGTTATTGCCGATAAACGGTCACAAATGTTGGAAAAAGTCATCGAAAATTGAACGTCGCCGCATAGGTCATATGCCAGAAATCATATTTAAAATGTAATGCCACAAGAGTATCTTTCGGATAAATAAAATTCATGTCAATCGAATAATCCATCGTTGTTTTATTGCAACTTAAAGTTCTATACATCGAAAAAAAAACACCCCTTATTTCTGCTTGAATTTTTAACAGATAACAATTGCTGTTAAAAATTTTTAACTGGCAACTTTTTCGAGCAACATGTGCTTGCTTATTTTGATGGAATTTTGTTTTTAAATGTTTTTAAATTTAAATACAATAAACAATACTTTATAGCGTTAGTGTTAAATGGCTAGAATCGAGAGAAATGAAGTTTCTTTGAAGCACTGAAGAAAATATTCATATTGAAATACAGCTTTTTCAATACCTACAATTTAAAGAAATTGCCCATTGGCACTTATAATTATATATTTGGGAGTGCTTGTTGAATATTATTTCTACTTACATGTTTCCTGTGTGATACCTAATATCTCAAAGTTATATTTAGACTTAAGTTTATGAAAACTAACTTTGCGCCGATTCACACCCACAAATTCGGAAAAAGTAGCTTACATGAAAAAATATATGTAGAAATTGCGTAAAAATGCCCCATCCAAACATTCACCATCTGTTGTTTGTCGAAAATCAGACTTTGCAATGGTTAAAAACGAAATTTTAAATCTCGCGCACACGCACGTTGAATGTTTTTTGCACAGTTACACCTCTCCCCCTCGTTACAGATCGAAATTTGGTTGGGTACTTGCATAAACTCAGGAGAGTTCAGATTTTAGATACGTCGCCCCTTTCAGGCCAAAACAGTTCAAAGGTATTTTTTTTTCACATCCTGAAAGTCAATCATAAAATTTACCATTTTGGCATTTCCGTGAAGCTTGAGGACGAATTATTATTACTCGTGAAACAGTAAATTAGATGTGCACTGCCATTAAACTGTTTAGTATCTAACATTTTAATCGATACCGAACGGGGTTTGAGTAAATCGCGTGCCTTTCGAAGGCCCTATTGCCTGTGATTCGCGGTATTACGGACATGTATGAATTTGAAATACAATTATTCACGATCGCAATGCTAAATCGATAATTGCGTATAACTGCCGAATGTGATTTAATCTAAAATCCGCTGAAACGTTATTTAATCAAAGCTACAAAGTTAACGCCGCATCACAGAAATAGGATTTCTCGCAAGAGGCGGCCCACATTATTATGACTAATTTTGCGTGCCTTAAAAACGAAAACGAAATATAGCATACCAGCAAAGAAAAGATTTGTTATCAGAGCAAAACTAATCTGGTTAGAAAAGCTTGTTTAAAATAAACTTTTTTGTGCCTATGTGACCATTCTTTCATATTATATTTAGTGAAATAAGGCAAATAATTGTTGATAATGTTACTAAAATTATTTTTTTGTGTGTCTGCTTGTCTGTTAATAATGCACAGTTACTTTAACAGATTTTTTTTTCAGAATTTATTTCATTTTTGTTATCCTTAGACAATTTAGATAAACAGAAAATTTAGCTTCCTACGATGGTCCTGGATCGTCTACCAATTCAATCAGGAAGAAATTGGCTATACGCAAACAACATAAATAACTAAATTTCGGCGTACCTACAGGCAATATACACAACTTCCTATGTAAACAAATTACGGAACTATGGCGAGAGGCGTGGAAGATTTTACGAACAGCTTTACGCCGAGGCTTTCGAGAGATACGATAATACGGGGTGGTCTATAGGAAAATTACATTTTAGAACTTACAAATCGAAAAACGACATTTTTTTCA